AAGGACCTGGGATAGGCAGATGTTGTTTGATGGTGTTAAAGGTATCGTCACAGGATATAAGGTGTTCCAAGTAAAGCTGCCTTTTGCAAGTCACCTGGTGATTTTGTTAATGCCGATGGTGTTCAAGTAGTGCTCCAGAGGTTTGGGGATTGCACCTAAGGCGCTTTTAACTATTGCCACTATCTTTGCTTCCTTTTCCCATAGTTGTTCTACTACTATTTGCAGGTCTTTATATTTTGTGCTTCTCTCAAGTTCTTTCTCTTCTATTCTGTTGTCTCCAGGTATTGCAACATCCACTATCCAGACTTTTTTGTCTTTCTTATCAACAGTGGTTAAGTCTGGGGTGTTGTGTGGCAGGTGCTTGTCTGTTTGAAATCTAAAGTCCCAGAGCACTTTAGCGTCTTCATTTTCTATTACTTTGGCTGTTTTGTGGTCCCACCAGTTCTTCCTTGCAGGCAGATGATATTTCTTGCAGATATTCCAATGCCCCATTGTTGCTACTTTGTCATGCTGTTGTTTGTGGTCAGTCTGTGCAATTTTCTTGCAGCAGCTAACCAGGTGGTCCACTGTTCCTTCAGCTTCCTTGCAGAGGCGGCATGTGCTGCCTGTTCTGTCTTCTCAATTCTGTCTTTCTATGCATTTGTTCTTAAGGCTTGGTCTTGTGCAGCCAGAATTAGCTCCTCTGTCTCTTTCTTCAACTTTCCCCCTCTTAGCCATTGCCAGGTCTTGTTGTTATCTGCTTTGCCTGCTAATTTTATTGTGTACTGGCCATGTAATACTTTGCCTTGCCATGTCTCTCTTCCCCTCTTCCTCCTCCTCCTCTCTACCTTTCTGTCCTTTATGAAAGGAGGGGGGAACAGCATCCATCCTTCTTCTCTTCTGGCTTTCAGGCAAATATGTTTTTAAAGGATGGAGTAGTTCTGGCTTCCAGAAAACCTCAAGAGAGCCCTGCAACATATATGGAATCTAGCACTGAGAGTAAGCGCCAGTTCCCCAGCTTTCAGCAGGCAATGCACGGGCAGCAAGAACAGCCAAAGAAAGGGATGGATAGAATACAGCAGGCGAAAGAGCAGAGCAAAGTAGAAATAGTGCTGGGTGAACTGAGATGCATATACAAACAACATCCATGGCAGTTATAACATGTGCTATAAGCAGTGCTTCCTGGAAGTAAACACCCAGCCTAGAAACATGTTATTTCATCTACATTATCCATCCATTTAATTCAAAAGTAAAGCAATTCATATTGTTTCAGGCACGCCAGCTATGCCTTTCATTCCCCTTTCTCCTAATATCACATTTCCCCCCCATAATTAGATTGACAGGCAATATCCTTTTAACAGGTTCTTGAAACAGATCTCTAAATATTCAACTCCTGAAATTCTGTCAGTGAAAACAAATGTCTATTAGAGAGTTTTGCTAGCCTGAAGTATTTCATATCTGACCTTGTCAACCAATATGCCAGACAGGTTGTCCATAGAGTCCACTGGAGTTCGGTGGCCAATCAATTCAAATAAATAATAAATAACAAATATCTATAAAATATATTATTATTATTATTATTAATAATAATAATAATAATAATACATCTGATTTTGGTGCATAGACTGGAGCACAAGCCAGAACCAGTGATATTGTTTTGCCCAATGTGTATCTGTACATAATCTCTCCTCCATTTATAGAACTCCTTGTGGGTCCCAAACTATGGATTTGTCAATTAACCCATTACCCAGGAATACCCCTCTGAGTTTCCCAAGTTTAACAGCCTGAGTCCATCAGGTGACTCTGCCTCCAAGAATTTATTATTTATTATTTTTAATTCAATCTGGACACCGCCTGACTCCAACTGACTCTGGGCAGTTCACAGATAGTATAGTAATGTAAAAAACAATACCAACCAACAGTAAGATGGCATTCAGGCATAACATACAAACAGAAAACAAAGATAACAAACACACCCAAGGGGCTCCATCCATCTCACCTCAAGGCCTGGGAGAACAACTAGGTCTTCAAAGCTTTTCAGAAAGCCAGCATGTCTCTATTAAAATCAGCTGGAAGTATTCTAAGAATGTTTCTTCCCCTCTTGGCCCCCAAGACATCCCAGGAACTTCTCCACCAAGATTAACCTCAAGTACATTGGTTGCAGCTTTTTTCTGACCATCTAAAATGGCCTTTTTAGACCAAAGGAGAAATGTGAAGATTCTGGCTTCAATGTATTTCTAAAAGCCATTACCTCAGCATTCTGCTTGTCAGCCACACACAAATACAAGCACAGAGTTTTGTTCTAAAAAATTATTTCAGATGCTTTCAAAGTGCTAAATAAAAGGAAAACTAAAATGCAAATTGTTCAGAATTGAATTTCACATAGAAATGAAACCTCATTAATTCTACAATAAGAAAACCATTATCAGTTCAGGAAAAAATGTGACATGAACGTAGGATCTACCAGAGGAAAGAAGGACTTCTCTTAGAAAAATAAGTACTTTGGGGGCTTTTAATATCTCTCCACTCTTGCCCTGCAACTCTACTACAATTCCCACAAAAAAAAATCTGGTCCCAACTCTACAAAGTCATTAAAGTCACAGATGTAAGAAAATCCTCTAAACATCACCTCAGCTAACTAAACCCAAATCTGATAAAAAGTTGAAAGAACCCCAACTTATTTAAATAATAAGAAAGACAAGAGAAGTAGTTTTCAAACCATTTCTACAAGTCTATAAATGCAAAGGTCTCTTAAAGCAAGGGACAATAAACTATTGTGGTCATTTTTAGTATTTATTCCTTGAATAAATCCCAAATGCACCTGCAGCAAAAGAACCACTCAAAGAAAGAATTATGGCTCTGAAAGAAAGCATCGTGCAGTTATGTAACATAATTAAACTTACATAAGTGTTAAAACTGATGAACAGGCAGTTTCTAAGCCTGCCTAAGTTTCATCATTAATCAAGTCTTGGAAGAGGGAATTAGATTCAGAATAGGTCATCTAAAGCATTCAGGACACACATATCTTGCCATGTATATCATCCAGGCACCATTAGGGCACTTCAGGTTGGATTCCAAAAGAACTTTCTTAGGTGCCCCCAGCAGCTGATGGCAACACCCAGAAAAGATGCAGCTGCTTTAAATAGTTGCAGACAGCTTCCATCCCTAAGTTTTCAGCCATCCACACCCCGCCACACACATCAAAACCCATTTTTGGAATAGGTGCTTTCACCTTTCTGAAACACTGCATAATCCTAGTCACTACTATTCTTCAGCCCAAATTTTCCTCCCCTAAGAACCAGCATGTATGTTAGCCACTGAAATTTAGTTCCCAAACCCTCTGATTATTTTCCTAGCCTCCATTTAGCTCTACTATTTATTTTTCAGAGAGACTTCTGCTCTTGTTCCAAGTCCTTAAAACATATCAAATTCTGGCCTTTCCTTCAAAGTTAGTCTTAGTTGCCATTTTGCTCTTTCACATTGTATTTGAGGTTACTTTTTTGATGAATGATTATTTCCTGAGTGGAATTGTCAGATTTCTGTGTAATCCCTGAGCCACAATCATAAACTATGAAGAACTTTTATCACATTTTTGTGCTAGCTAGCTACTACACAAAAGTCAGATTTCAACTGTATGTTTACTTCAATGCAATAAATAAAAATAGCATTAAAATAGAATACATACATTATTCTTTTCTCCCAGTGTACAAAGTCTTTGATGTTTTTTGCAAATAAACAGCTGTAACAACCTGGAAAAAAATCAGCCACTCAAATCTTTTTTAGGATAGAAGGTCAATCAAACTGGAACATGTTTTAGAACAGTGTTTCTCAAATCAGGCAACTTTAAGATGTGTGCACTTCAACTCCCAGAATTCCGCAGCCACCATGGCTGGCTGCAGAATTCTGGGAGTTGAAGTCCACACATCTTAAAGTTGCCCCGTTTGGGAAACACTGTTTTAGAGCATTCTCCCCTGAGATGCTTTTGTTACCAGAGGGTTGTTGAAATCTCCCTCATCCAAATCCCTCAGTAGGAAACAAAGCTGTATTCAAAACGTTAGAGTCTTCTAAAACAAGGATTGCAGGTAACTCTTAGACAAACAGTTTTTAACTTCCTAATTCAACTCCCATGGTTACTTAAACAAAATCCTTCTCAAGTTGCAAGAAGAATCTCCTGTGGGGCTGCCAAACAGACCAAGGTACTACTTACTACTGGGCATCCTCCATGTCCATTTCTAGGTAAACTCACACACATGCTTAATGACAGTATGTCCGGATGGAATTCAGAGGTTTTTTTCCACAGCCTGGTATGCATGCACCATAGTGTTACTCTGTAGTACAAACTGGGGAGTAACTACTACTAAAACACCATAGTTTTACTCTGTACTACAAACTGGGAAGTAACTACTACTAAAATAAGCAGAAATACCCTAAACAAGTATTCAAATCCACAGTTATTAGACTCCATTTGCATTTACTGTATAGACAATAGACACAATCATACACATTAGGACATTGTTGCAATGCTTCCAATTCAATTCTGAAAAAGCACTTTGGCACAAGCAGGGATGCAAATCCAATACCAGTCGGCAACTGATTAAAGCAGCTGTAACTTTTATCTGTTGTAGAAACCTCCCTGCAGGACTGAAAGAGAGAGATATGAAATGGATAATTTTATAGTGGAAACAAACATATTTAATAAAAAAAAAATCCTACAGTTGTCATACTCCAGATTAAGAGGAATATAAAGCATTTCCTGATCGCTTATGCCTTGTTAGAAAAATATAATGGGAGTTATCTACCTTCTAGTCCAGAGCTGCACAATTTCTGTCAGCTTTAGGGCTATATAAGCTTTATGTGGCATAGTGAGTGCCACATTCAAATGTGAGTGGGGCTATTTTTTCTTTTTATATTGTATTTATCCATGTGCATTTTTATATCTTTCTTTTTCTTATATTTTATTTTACTGGGGGATTTGATGAATCAAAGTTCCCCCTCCTGAACAATTTGCATTTTTTCCCTTTATCAGTAGAGTGTGCAATGACAGTGAGATCTTTTTTTCAGTATTACAGTTCCGTCTACTGATAAAGAAAGGCATTTCAGTCTTCTCTCTCTTTTTACAGATTATGTGGAAAAGGGAAATCACCAATAGTCAGGGGCAAGATAATGAGGATGATAATAGTATTTTGGAGCCTTGGAATAGTTTTAAGGCACAAAATACCCCCTAAAATGAGAAATATCAGATTGACTTTTTGAGATGCTAGGATCTTCTAAGAAGTGTGATTGTGCACCTTAAGTATTAAGGAACCAATTTTGCCTCTTAAAACCTCTCACCCCCCTCCTTCCCAAAAAACCAAAAAACTTCCCAAATGTTGGCCCTAGCCACGTCGGGGGGGGGGGGGGGGTTTGGAATGAAAAAGGGGTGGTTGTGGGGGGTAGGGGGGCTGGGGGGGGGGGGTTTGGAATGA